GTTGCACGGCTGCAACGAGTGAGCTTTAAGCGTTCTCTATTCGATTGCGCAGTATACGCGTCTCCAGGGAACTGCAGACTGGACACCATCGCGCTCGTAGCGCAAATGATGCGGCTTTCGCTGACGAGAGCGATGGCTCTGTCGCGTCGCAGGCGATTGCGACGGCCCTGTCGAGAAGCTTTCGAAGCGTCGTTTATTCATTCTTGCTCGCAGCGGTGCGTAAGTTGCGTGGGAAACGTGTGGGGCGAGCTGTGGGAAGCGAAGGCACCATTGCGCGTCTCGGCTTCCAATGACATCGTGTCTCACGGGGTATATGACTGTGTGTTACAGTTTGGGCCCTGTGTGAAACTCTATGTAGTCCAGTGGCTCATCGCTCACCATAAACTCGGTTACTGCGAACAGCGCTCCCAGACTTAGCGATACGGATATGCAGTGTGTGAGGTTTGAAGTGTGTATTACATCGACACTCCACTTCCTGAAATTTTTGTTGCAGAAGGGGGGAGCACCTCGTCGGAATGCGTCGACGCCAGTGAAATATAGGGTTGTTCGGATATTCCGAATTGAATTGAATACTAACTTGTTCGAATTGAGCGTTCGAAGTTTTCATGACTTACTCATCCCTGTTATGTGCCCTAACTCGAAGTCTCTCAGCAATGCCTGAATTGCTTCCACGAAGGTACGTTTACAAGTAGTCCTGGAGTATAAAAACGCCTCATTAAGTACTTAGTAGTGGCTTAGCTGTCGTATATACAGGCTCACTGATATCTAATAAAACAAAACTGTATACTGTGCTGGGCTGTTGTTGGTTACTGCCGCCATTACGGGACAAGGCCCATCGAGCCCTGCTAACTTTCATAAAAAAAACAGATTTAGACTCACGTTCACAGACATTTTTTATGTGACTTTTTTTGCATTTACGCTTGTTTGTTTTGTTTTCTGTTTCTTTCGCCTCCTCTCTCCTTCTTTCTTCCCTGCTGCCTTCCGTTCCTCTATGTCTCCCCTTCGTGAAAAAGCAGGCAGGCGTTGTGTCCCTATTTGTGGCAGTTCTCAGCCTGTTCCCTCCCTATTCCGTCTCTGTCTTCGTGCTTCTTTTGTATACAAACACCAACTAATAATAATAATAATAATAATAATAATAATTTTCAAAAATAGCCTATATATGAGACATGAGAACGCCTTGTTTCGAACGTGCAAGTGACAACATCTGCTGACATTTTGTTCCAACAACCCCTCCCCACGTCCCCTGTTCACTATTCTTCATTGTCCCGGCCCTTGTGGCAGACAAGTCGTCGTCAGCTGCCCGCTTGCTGAGGTGAGCTTGAGGCTCACCCCTGCGTTATAAGGTGGCAGAGAGGACAACACCACGTTTAGGTCAAGAAGGAATAAAAGAAAAAATGGGGGGGGGGGGAGGAGAAGTTCATCTTGACAGCGAAACTGGTTAATCTTAGAGGTTAAAGTGACCTTCTTGGCTGCTGGTCTTTCGTTGGCGCAGACAAAGTAGAGTCGAACCACAGCCTGACGTAGACCATGCAAGGACGTGCAAACTCCAGCTCCAGAACTAACATGCAAAGCTGTCTTCACTCCCGGTGGAAGCGTGGGCCTTTCGTCGTCCGTACTGTGCTCGCGTGGCGGCTGCGTGGACGGTCTCCGTCGGTGTGCGCGGCTGGATATGCAATGACCCAACGTTTTGCCTCGAACTCTAGGTGTAGCATAGCATGCGAAGCCGCGCGTGGATCGACTTTCAAGTTCCGTTCATCCCGGGCACCCTACTTGGTGTTAACGCGTCCTTGCAAGTGGGGCACACCATGAATTCACTCTAGTTTCTGTTCCTGTTATACTCATCCCGAACTCTTGTTAGGGCACGTACGCCATGTGGGTTCATCGCCACGCCACGCGGGAGTCCGTGGGTTCATAACGCTTCGACTGCTGCAAACGCACAGTTACCCCAGCCCCTATATCTGCAACAAATACCTCCCAGAAGCCAAAATTCAAGGTGTGATTTAAGTCACATGCACATGCTGTGGCAGTGTCCCGTGCTAAACGCTAGCTTCGGGTCCCCTGCCACCGAGAACGACTGGATCAACCACCTCAGGAGCCCCGACAGGGCCCTTCGACACCAGGCCGTCCAGAAGGCCCAAAAGGAGGCTGGCGAGCTCCGACTCCCAGTCCCCACATGGGCGGAGCCACCGGGCTGGCCCCCGTAAGGGGTGCCCAGTCCCCTTCAGGACCTTTATTAAAGTTAATTCTCTCTCTCATCGCGCGTCTGCAGAATGTTGTTTCCCGACACCATCACGTGATTGCTGAGAGAGAGTAAGGGGGAGAGGCTACAGCGTTTTACATCGGTCGGAACGCGCTAGCGCGTGATAGCGTTCTGGCAGTGTTTGGGCCAGCTGTCGCGCATGCGCTGTAAAAGTGGTCACGCCGCACACCGGATTGAACTCCCCCCAAAGCTGCTTCGCATCTGAAAAATCCTAATCCTCCTTGCTTTCGACGATGCCGAGTCGCACCTGAAGACCGCTTCTGATGCGTAGTCTTCATCCCAGCTCACCAATATTTGGCGCTGACTGTTTACGTTCTGATTTCGTTAGTGAATTGAAGATCGAACAGGTGTTCCACGTTGCGAAGAATCACTTCTTTCATACATTTATGGTCTGAAAATTTTATTGCAATTGGTCTACGGTGGAGTCCAGGAGAAGGATGTTCTGAATGGTTGATGACTAGTACGAAAAAGAGAGAGAGAACCCTCTATTGAAATGCAGAGAATTTAGCCGGCATGTAAAATTCGCTGACTTGCTACTCTGCGTGGGGAAGGGGATTGAGGATTGAAAGTACAAATACGAAGAGAGAGAGAGAAAAAGACAAATTGTGAATATAGTTGATAAAATAAAAAGTAATGGAGGAAAAGGCCACCTCCTTGACCATTGAATGAGGACATGCGTTTATAGTTTTTTCGTGGTGTCAAGCTACAGCTACACCTTGTCTAGCTGACCGATGCTGTCCAAGTACGCAAACAAAAGTTTCATCGCACGCCTCTGCAAAGTGGGGCAGGCTAAAGGTCCAGTAGACAGTCAAGGGAGAAAGTTCTCACGGTTATAGAATGCATGCAATGTTCATAAAGCGCACGTTCCTCAGCATACGCTCTACACTCAAACAATATATGTTCCACAGACTCGATGGAGCCACAGTTGTTGCAATACGGACTCGCTGACTGACCGAAGCGGTACCGTATAGGCTGTTAACATAGGCACTATTTAGACGTAGACGATGGTATAGCGTTTCCAGATGGCGAGGAATTTTGAATTAGAGTCTTGTTCTCAGATAGGGGTCGATTCAGTGAAGAAAGGCATAATGACGTGTCGGAAGGTTCCGGCGTCTCTTATTTTCTTCAATCGCAAGTGTTTTGGCCATCCGGGCTGCATCTAATTTAGTGAAATAAGTTCGTCTGTAATTGTGGTGTCGAAGATCCTTGAGTGCTGCTTCATCTGCTTTTTCGTTGGCGGAAATTCCACAATAAGCCGGTATCCACTGAAATGTGATAGAGTTCCCTGCGGTCACAGCCAGGTGATGTAGATATGCTATGTCGAACGAAATGGGGTGACAATTCGTTTTCTTTAGGAGGTGTATGAAAAAGAGCTAATCCTTCTTACTATACTGCAGAATTGTAACCTTTGGTTTGCGTTTGTGGTTGTGCTTCCTCACAGTGCCACCGGCACATTTGGTATCCGGTTGGTGTGAATCTCCTTCAATTGGGTACTGGAACAGCGTATTGCTCTCGCCTGGTAGAGTACATCGTACTAGAAACGATCTAACATTTGTTATAAACACCCGTGACGGAGTACGTGAAAGACGTTGCATAGTGCTGTGAATTATTAAAATTATGCGGCCTTAGAGCACGTGGTTAGACGCTAGCAACATAAGGCTATAGCGTAGAAATTGGCCTCTCGTGACCCCAAAGGAGTTGAAACTAAAGTATGAAACTTACACTAAAATCGTAACGAACAGCTCCTAATGATTCCAGTTAATGGTGTTATAGGATAGATAAGATAACGAGGATCATTTGAGTGAGAAGTTGAAGTCGGAAGCACTTTTCCTTTCGAGGAAAATGGGGACAGGCGAAGCTGGGCGTATATAGCGGAAGAGAAAGACGACATAGAGGTTCAAATTTGCAACGACAATAAGAACATGGGCCTGGATAAGGTCGTTGTAAACCACTGTGCAAGAATACTTGCCGTGAGTGAACGACGCGATATATGCTCGCCGGACGTATCGCTGAAATGCGACCACCACGGCTTGGACAGAACTCGTGGCCTGTGGAGTTGACTAGTCGGTATGCGTACTGAGTATACAAAACGCAAGCTTTTGGTAAACGGTTTTGAGTTGTCAACTTGGAATCGCTTAGTGCATACGATGTTTTCTTGTTATCTTTTAATTTCCGCTGAATTTTTTGCGTTTCCTCTACGAACCGATTGAAATGTAGCGATGATGTTCAAAAAGCTTTACTGAAAGCAACATATTGAAGAAGCAACTTAAATTGAATTTATAGATAGTTTGAGGACAGCTGCATGACGTCCTTGCAAGGTATGTCCAATGAAATACGAGTATATAGCAGATTTTGTATCCACTTAAATAGCAAACGAAACGCGAGATTGCTTATGAAAACACTGATTAAACTTGTGGGCATGCAGTAGAGTGTTCTGTATGCTTTTCTGTTGCTCTTCATTAGCGGCGGTTCCTCCTGAAGTTTTTTTTAACGAGTAATATCAGTCTTGTATTTCGGTAGCCCTTTCTGGTTCGACGTTCACGACAAGAGCCGGCAGTATCTTATGAGTGAATAAGTATACATACACATGCACACTCCCACACGCACACTTACAGACACAAATACAAACTTTACAAGAAACTTCACAGTGATTGTGTTATATGCGCGTTGTTGTCTTCTATACGCTTCCTATCGCGATGTACTTTATCGCCACTCTCGATTTATGTGAGGGTTAACTCACCGCGATGTCAATGGGTTTCCGTAGCTTATGCAGGTCTGGCCCTCAGCGTCTGTAGGCGGCAGGGCAGCCTCCAAGTCCTCGCTCATGGCATACTAGAGCTGTGCCGGTCGGCGGTTCGGCATCGTCGGCCACGAAAGGCCCGCATGACGAGGGCGCAGCCTACGCGGGCATCTTCCACACCATG